AGGTGGGCTATTATCAGCAGGAGAAAAAAAACGTTTGTAGTGATAATCAGGATGGCCCATTTCAAACAGCTGACAAGAAGGTGTGAGTAACGGCTACTTGTTCTTTTTTCAATTATGTAATTTAGTTCTAGCCATCAAGGCATTTATAATGTGCCTATCACTACGCTATCTAGGCATCTCAATGTAAAAGCTTTACACTTTAAGTAAACCAATTTCTAACTCAAGCAAATGTTTACAGAAGGGGCTATGGGCAACCTGGAGCCCACGACTTCTACATCTGCCCAATGAATCAGTTTCACTCCCCTTTCCTCCAGAAGGTCAAGTTGCAGACCCTGTAGTCCCCCAAACCCAGGCTCCCTGCTGAGAACTTCAGTTACCCAAACTATCCTCTGGTTACTACTGATCCTGGCAGCATGAAACATTGTGACCAGGTTCTAACAAGGATTTATTTATTGCTCAGATAAATGTGCCTGGGATACATAAGGACTGGTGATAAGTGTTTCTGCACTTGAAAAATTCCCAGAGAACTGGAGCCCACTCCTCATTATATGGGGAGTTATGACCACCCTCCCTTTATGGCTAGATGGGAAGGACACCAAAAGCTTTGTAACATGGGATCATAGTATGGAAAAGATTGAGACCCACTGGTTTATATTCTAGAAGAATGACAGATGCCACAGCTAGTGTGTCACTAAACATAATTATATTTATATTGTACATAGATTAGGTGTCTGAAATCTGTTGTGGCCAATTGGCCTTTAGTGTCACTTAGTCAGATCAGACTTGTGTGTCACATGCCTCGTGGACACAGCAGGGTTTGTTTTAAACAGATTAAATGAATTTTCTAATTTAAGTTTAGGGCTTCCATCTTCTTCAAACTGGAGTCTGGTTTGCAACCATTTCTGTATCTGCTGAATATCAACCCCTCACATCAATATACTAGGCAGCCGGCTTTCCCTGGAAAACGCTATCTCAAGCCTTGCCCGCATGTGGAGTTGCACCAATTTAACTAAAGGCATGATCTTAAACTGATGTAGTTAAATCTGTGCAAACCCCTGTTGACTCTTAAGTCATGTCTACGCTAGCAAGCTTACAGTGGCACAGCTGCACTACTCTAAGATAGCTCGCATATCTGCTTTTTGCTGATGGGAGAGATCTCTCCGGTCAACATAATAAAACCACCTAAACGAGTGGTGGTAGCTATGTCAGTGAGAGAGCATCTCCCACCGACACTGCGCTGTGCACATGAGCACTTACGCCAGTAAAATTTATGTCGCTCGGTGTGTGTGTGTGTGTGTGTGTGTGTCTTTTTCACATCCCCGAGCAACATAAGTTTTGCTGACGAAGGTGGAAGCGTATACATGGCCTTATTTTAAGAAGCTTGTATGTCAGTTAAACTTAAACAGAATCCTAATGGACTTAGATCACTGTTTCTCAACTAGGGGGTCACGGCACAGGTTTGGGGAGGAGGGAAGGTGACAAGTGCAGGGCTGGCATTAAGATGTGGCAAGAACAACAATTGCACAGGGCCCCGTGAACCTAAATTACATGCATGAGCCCTGCTGCACAGGGCCGAAGCATGTAATTTAGGAATGTCCCTGCTTGCCAGCCCCTAATGCCCAGCATTGAGTATTATTTATAATTTACTTAATGGTATTTAAGGTGGGGGGGGGTTTCCATTTTTTAAGTCCAAAGAGGGCTGCCAGCACAAAAAGGTTGAGAAACACTGTCTTAGATGAAATCAAAGTAAGCTTAGTTTAAACTGAGTCTGTGCCCACAGTGGTTCTCATGATTTAACTAAATCTGTTAGCTAAACTTGTGCAAATGTTCATGTTTATATAAGGCGCCCAACAGAAATTACCTTTGTCTAATCAGTTGGGGTATGGTGCGGATAGCCCATAACCTCCAGATTGTCAGACTCTGTGCAACCTTTAGCCTGTGGGCACATGCCACCCCATCTGCCAAATGGGGATACTTCCCTCCCTACTTCAAAGACACTGAAGAATGATCAGGGAAGAGGAAAACCTTGGCCACAAGACTTCAGAATGCAATGTGATTTCTCTGAAAACCTGTGCAGAGATTACAGCTAGTTGGTTTGGCATTCCAGATGCTGGCACTAAGAGACAAGCCACATCAGTAGTTTTACATGCAAGAGGTTGGTATACTTTGGGAGTTCTAATTGAAGTGGATGTTCAAAACATCTGGCTGCACTGCAGTAGCGCACTGCTGGGTTTATAATTACTCTCTAACAAACAGTTTGTGGAATGGGATGTTGGCAGTAAGAACTGAGGTTTGGGTATGATTTAGGGAAATATTCCAGAATTAGTTTAAGGACATATCCTCGTTCTATCATTTGTAGTTGCTGTGGAAAACATTACAAAGCGAAGAGATCACATTTTCAAAGAGTTGCACTAATGAGCACAGTATCTCAATCTGCTACTATATTATCATGTAGCAGATGTTTTGAAGTTCCTGCTTGAAAACAAAGCTGCACTTACTTTTCCAATCCCTCCCTTTCTAAAAAATCATGCATGGGCAATTCCACTTTTACATGGAATATGCAACAACTTTACAGTTTGAGGAACAAGCATGAACTATGAAGTGTCTAAGCAATGGTAATTCTAGGAATCCACTCCAAGTAATTTCAGGAACCTATTTCAAGATTTGCCTTCTGTAAATTCTCTAGGATAACATATCAGGCTACTCCAAGCCAACTGCCAAAAGGGGAATGTTGACTGTGATTTTGGGGAAGCAGGTTTGAGTAGCGAATACTTCCAGATCTCAGAAGTTTTACACTGTTATGAAAAAACACAGATTACTAATTAAAATGGTGTGAAGATATACTATTGTCAACTACTCTCAGTTCTGGTGCTTCTAATATCTCACCTCTTTGCTCCACCAGCATCTGGTGAAACAATAGTACAGTTCTTCCACTCTGCAATGTTCTCCTTGATCCACTTCAGTACAGCAGGCTCTGCATACAAGTTATCCACAGGGATATCAAAAAAACCCTATGGTAAGACAAACAGGAGTAGATATACTCTGCATAACTGACAGTCAAATTCCAAAGACAGACCTGGCAAAAAGCAATAGAAGCCCTGAAAATAATCAGGCTTCCAGCCACAGCCTTTTCATAGTAGTAGTAAGTATTCAGCTCTCCTTACACTTACATTAATAGATGTGCAGTAATCTTCGGGATACACAGAATACTAATGCAAGAGACCATCTTCTGCCTCTATGGGGAGTTACAGAGGCTAGTGAGCTAATGTTCACAAAAAAACGACCCTCTGTTACTCTTAAGTTGTGTTATGCACTTCTGCTGATCAACATGAAAACAGTCCGATGCTGGCAAGGACCTGATGTGGACATTAACTCCATCTATTAGCATAGCAGCTAGTTGCTTGGTTTGTTTTTTAAATTGAGGGTTGGCCTCATGCTCAGGATGCAGCCAACTTCATATTACCTCAGCAGAAGCTTCCAGGGAAACGTCACAGGTTGCCCAAATGCCAAAAGATAGTCAATCCTGGACTATCAGTGGATGATGACTACATAGATGAATACTTGCCTATTTTGCCATCTCCTACATGCAAGAAACACCAACCCTACCTGCTCACTCCCTTTTTGGGCTCATGTTAAGACTCAATACCTGCATAGAGCAAGCTGAAACAGGGAAATATGAGCCACCCGCCCAGGTCTTCAAAGGCAATAGTTACAAGGGTGAATGCATTATTAAAACTAGTGGGTCACACATATCACTGCTTCTATAGACTGAGCTCACTGCACATACTGGGGGGAGGGCGCTCCTTGCATCTCTATTCTCCTCATGAGTTTTTGGTGTGCCACCCTTCTATCCCACTGTATTTCAGGGACTCCCTGCAATCCCTGTATGCCAGAAACTCTGTGCACCACCTATTCCTGCTCTGCCGCTCCCAAGGACTCTGTTTCTCCTGTACTCCTCCCCATGCCATTGTCCCTCAGCCTGTACCAGGGGGTCTGTGCACCTCCATCTCCACCTTACCCCACCACTAACTCTCTTTTTTGGTTGGGAAAGAAGCATCTAAGGGTATCAACATTTAAACTCTATTGGACAGAGCTGAGATAGGTATTGTTAGGACAGAACATGTAATGGCACCATCAACCATTTCTTTGATCAAACAGACAACAGACCTAGTTGAAGCTGCAGGTTCTGCTAACTCAGACACCAGGGGCTCTGTGTGTTCCCTATTTCCCCCTTCCGGTTTTTCAATTTTCACCTAAATCAACAGAATTCTGACCATCGGTGCCTAAAACATTCCCTGAAATGTTTGCATTTATCAGATGTGGCATTCAAAAGTTATTACATTATAACCAACCAGACATAGAAATACCATCACATTGAGTGTAGGGCCTTGATTTGCTTGGTCAATCAAGAATAACAGCAATCTTATTTACAAGTGACCATGTGTCATGCAACATAAACTAAGGATCTAGTCACTGTCTGCCATTGCCCTACTGGCCTAGACCATCCCACAGGTAAGATCTGTGAGGCGGAAGTATCATCTGCTTGTCTACATCTGAAAAGTGTTATCTTCCCAAGTTTCAGTTCATACCTGAATCTGAGAAGCATGTAGGTCCATAGTGATGATGTGATCTGCACCCGCCACAGACAGCATGTTTGCAACCAACTTGGCAGAAATTGGGGCTCGACTCTAGTACAAGAAAAAGCCATGTTAATTTGGATGACAGCAAATTCACTTGTGGGTTTAAAAGAAATAATACATTTCAGCCTCTCCCTCAGGGGTATAAATCATTGCCTCAAAGTCTGAAAATATACTTCAATTTTACTTAAAACTGCCCAATTCTCACAAACACCCACACTCCATCCAGGGAGGAAAATAGCTTGGTAAGTTTCCAAAAGGAATAGACATTTATACAAATCAAGACAGCATCTGCAATTCCACTGAATATGATAAAGGTTGGCAAATGTCAAGATGAAAAAGTGATAGACTACGTTAAAATAATTTCCCCCTGCCCTTCTCTTACACATTGCAGTCTGCACAAATAGGTGAACCAAAGAGTTGCACACCTTCCTCTGAAGCATGGGCTGCTGGCTAGAGACTAGATGGGCATATTCCTTTATGGAACTCCTGTTTGCACTACCTTGTCTTTTTTGTCCTGGCGAGCATAAGGAAAACATGGTATGACTGCAGTGACACGGCTAGCTGATGCGATCTTGCAGGCATTTATCATGATGAGAAGTTCCATCAGGTTGTCATTGATTTCACCACAGCCACTCTGCACAATGTAGACATCCTCTCCACGCACGCTCTCACCTATTTCCACACTAGGTGCAGGAGGAGATAAAAAACAAGTGAAATTAAAAGCACAAAACAAATACAATTTGGTAACAGCAAGCAGCCTGCATCAGCAATTTCCATGCAACTTAGTAACCGATCAACAATACCCAACAGAAAGGCAGTTGCTTATTTGCTCAGTAACAGTACAGTACATTTTGCTTAATAGCAACCCAGATACAGTATTAATAACTTCCAGTTAATAGCAACATTTTGCTGGGAACAAATCCCATCCCTTAATATTTAATATTAATGGCATTCAGATATTGGCAACAGCATGCCACTTAACACTTTTTGGAAGAAAAGCTCCACCTGATGGCACTTTGCAAGGCTGCAGCCAGGGAGGGAAGTGCTGGGACATACCTTCCCTAGCTGCATCCCCACAAACCTGCCTGCAGAGGGACTGCACAGGAGGTAAGTGGCTTAGGGCTGGACTGGGAGGGGAGGCTGCAGACAGGGCAGTAGTAGGGAGTGGAGCTGCAGCCCAATGCTGGAGCTGCATGGTACCTCTCCAAAAGCTCTCCAGGCTGTGGCATGCCAGAGGGCAGCACCCAGAAAAGGAAGTGCTGGGAGGTCCTGTGCAGCCCCATGGGCCCCCAGCACCCTGCTCCCCGAAGAAAGCCCCAGTATCCAAGACTGCATTTCCCTTCCCCACAGGCAGGTTTGCAGGGCTGCAATCAGAGAAAGCCATCCCAGCACTTCCTTCCCGGCTGCAGGCCTGCAAACCTGCCTTCTGCTTATTAGCAACAGCTGGACAATGGCAATGTTTTGCTGGCAATCAAAGGTCTGCTAATAGGCAGAATTTACTTTTTTTTTTTACATTGCTCATTTTGATTAAATATACCGATTCAGCTGGTAAAGCAAAAACCATACGGCCTCTATTTCAGATCTCTATGTAATATACTTGCACCCCCTGAAGAGGGCTTAAGTTCCTCCAAGTCACACAGGGAAACCATTGAACACAATTTCACTCATACAAGGACTTCTTTTAAAAAAGGAAAAAGTGATGGCACATCAGCAAAGCAAGCCCTGAGCCAGATTTTTAGAAGAGCCCACCGGACAGGAAAACAACATAAGTCTAACATTTAAGAGTGATTTACTGATATTGAACAGAGAACCCTTCAACATCCTGTTCTGAGAAAGTATTCAGGGTTAATTTCTTCATGGATATAATGCACAGTAATCCCTGGTGAAGGGATTCTGAATATACGCCAGAGGTCCTGGTGCCAGCAGCAAATGGCCAGACAGCTTTAGAAACATGTACAGAGAGGCCTGCCCCTGGAGCTGGGGCGGGGGGAGGAGATGAGGCAGTGGCTTCTATATCAAATCTGAAGTCTGAGGAAGTGCTGTGTAAGGCCTTATGTAGCAACAGATTGCTCCAAAATGTTTCAGTTGAGAGGACAAGCCAGCAACACTGGAAATTGCTAGAAAGCCCAGAATCCATGGAGGAAGAAATGGGGCAACTTTTCCCTCATCTGTACTACATCCTAGAGGCAGCTTCACTTTGGACTACAGCCAGAGACATTGGTTATTACTAACGGGCAAGTGGCTGCAAGAGATTATGTGACTCAAGCTGAGGTCAGTTTAATTTTACATGCAGTCTTGTTGTAGACCCAGATTTTCATAAAAGGAATTAACCCGCCCATTCTCTTCCCTCACACATTTCCCAACTTCTTGTCTCCTCTTATATTTGTTGCTGTGGGCTATAAAATCAGAATCAGCTGCTCTTTTGTTAAAGCCCAAGCAGCACTGATTAGGCAGCCAATGTCATCTCTCCAGGTAAACACCCTAGTGACTGATGGGGAGGAAACAGCATCTGTGCTATTCTTGTGCAGTCAGCATTATTTGCTAACATTAAGAACTTGACCAGTCAGCTGGAAGGATAAGAGTGTTTGATACATGGTTGTGAAGTCGGTGTAATGATACAAGCTGTAGTTCAGTGAACAAACACCCACCTTTGCCAAGTTTTAGCTAAGTCTCCTACCTGTTGGGTTCTCACTTACAGCCCGTAAGCATGCAATGAAAACATATGTACTTTTTTCCTGATGTGTGCGCGCTCCATTCTCATATACAGCCTGGAAAACATTTACAAGACTCCTACTTCTGAAGCCCTTACAACAGGATCCTTGCAGGTAACCCTTTACTCTGGTTTGAGTATGTAGTAGATGAGCACATACAGTAATTTTGTGTTCTGTGAATACACATGATCCATGTTCTGTGAAGACATGCCCATTTTATATTGTTCAGAAGTAATGCACTTTTATAACTGCATGTTAGATCCATGGCTCCCTGAACTTACATTTGCTGTTTTCGAAAAAGATTAAGAATGATAAAAAAAATACAGGATGAAGAACAACAGTAGATTGTAGAGATTTGGAAAAAGTTAGATTCATAGTGCTTGGGAATTCCCAGAATATTTTAGTTATCTACATAGACACTAAACTCAAAAGTTACCTACAGAGACAAGGTGGATGACGCACCAACTTCTTTTGGTGAAAGACAAGCTTTTGAGCTTACAGTGACCTGAAGAAGAGCTCTGTGTAAGCTTCACAGCTTGTCTCTTTCACCCCTTGTCTTTCTAATATCCTGGAACAACAACACAGCAATCAAAAGTTCACTATCTTGTCTGCAATCAGGGAAAGCAGTTCACAGTTTGCTTCCTGAACTCTCAGTCTGCAGAGGGACTAAAAGCTATAGCATAAGAGAGATGAAAGCCTCAAGTTGCCTTAATGGGCTGCTCAAAGTGATCATAATAAAGCTTTAAATATCAACATTGACCCTTTCAGTGGTAATTGTATCAAGCTTTCAGAAAATGCTCTGCAGTGTGATTGGATGTATCAGCCACACCCTAATGGTCCTTTCATTTGGAAAATCATTCTCTAGCCTAAGTTTCAAGTTTTGAATGTCAATAGTCTAGTGTTTGATAACAAAGATCTTTACTGTACTTAGAAGTAAAAGCCGTATTCATTTAATGCTACTTAGCTGGTGTCTTGGCGCTCCTACAGTGCTGCTTACAGTTTTTCTAGAAGCTTGGCAGAACAGTAGTTATGAGGCAGGACACCATTAAAAAATAAAAACTACTGAACAAATAATCTAGTATTCAGTTTAGTGCATGGCAAAACAACCCCCAGATAGAGTATCAAGATGCCCTATGGGAGAGAGAAGGTGAGTGAGGTCATATCTTTTATTGAACCAACTTCTGCTGGTAAGTGTGACCAGCTTTCAAGCTACACAGAGCTCTTCCACAGTTTAGCCATGCCAAGCGGGTACCAGGTTTCAGGTGGGTTTGTACATGGCACAGCTAAGACAAACCACTGCTACCATGACCCATGCCCCGCAACTACACACACTGCTATTCATAGTCACATAAGCTCAAGTACGTGTACACGGGCAGGGGAATCACATAAGAATGGCCATACAGGGTCAGACCAAAGGCCCATCTAGGCCAGTATCCTATCTTCCGACATTGGCCAATGCCAGGTGCTCCAGAGGGAATGAACAGAACAGGTAATCATCAAGTGATCCATCCCCTGTCACTTGTACCCAGCTTCTGGCTAACAGAGGCTAGGAATACCATCCCTGCCAATCCTGGCTAATAGCCATTGATGGACCTATCCTCCATGACCTTCTTGAGTTCTTTTTTGAACCTTGTTATAGTCTTGGCCTTCACAACATCTTGTGGCAAGGAGTTCCACAGGTCAACTGTGTGTTGTGTGAAAAAATACTTCCTTTTGTTTGTTTTAAACCTGCTGCCTATTGATTTCATTTGGTGACCCCTAGTTCTTGTGTTATGAGGAGTAAATAACACTTCCTTATTTACTTTCTCCACATAGTCATGATTTTATAGAACTCTATCATATCTCTCCTTAGTTGTCTTTTCCAAGCTGAAAAGTCCCAGTCTTATTAATCTCTCCTCATACCTTAATCACCATTATTTACCTCTCTCCAGTCTGAAAACTGACCATTTATTCTTACCCTTTTGTTCCTATCTTTTAATCAGTTACCAATCCATGAAAGGACCTTCCCTCTTATCCTATGACAGATTACTGTGCTTAAGAGCCTTTGGTGAGGGACCTTGTCAAAAGCTTTCTGAAAATCTAAGTATACTCTCTCTATTTCTAACACACCCCTCTCGCTTTAAAGGTAAATGTAAGTGTATGTAGTCTATGATAAAATATGCTCCTATAGTACAATATGGCATCAGCCCCTCTGGTTTTTCAGTGGAAGCCACAGGAGGGGCGAGAACAGCAGTGAATAGTGCGGGTCCATTGTCTAACACCTGTACCTCCAGCCAAGAGCTCTCCAATTACACAAGATGCTCCACAATTGTCAAACTTCCACAAATTAAGCCTAATCTTCTGTGGCTTTCTTAGTTAAGACTCAAGAGCGTCCACACACCAAAGTCCTTCAAAAGAGCAACTTGTCAGCGTTTCCACTCTGTGTTCACTTCCCCCTGGGAACTGCTTAGTGCTCAGGGCTTTCCCAAGTAACAGAATGTTGACCTGAGCCTTGGCCCGCACCAGCCGAGGTACTGGAGCGCTGTAAGCAGACTCAAGCAGAGTGAGCTACAACACTCACACTCCGGGAACGGAAGCCCGAAGGCGGCCAGACACGCTGTTTTGAAGCAGACCATGCAGCCAGCCACGGCGGAGCCTCTTGCTCTCAGCCAGCAGAACAAACGTCCCAAGACTACAGACTCCCCACGTTACCAGGGCATCTTCACCTCCCACAAGGCACTGGGACTCTCACCCCAGCAGCCCAGAAACTTCCGAATATCGCTGGGCCCTCACCCAGCCCCCTATCCCCAGCAGTAGGAGAGGGGTTGGGGAATGGAGCACCCCTCCCTCGCGCCAGGCCGGACTCCATTTGCCGAAACCGGGAGTCCCCGCAAAGCAATACAATTCCCAGCAGACCCCGCGCGGCGACCTCGCAGCCCTCAGAAGCGGTGTGCGGCGTGGCATGCCGGGAGTTGTAGTCTTCCCCAGGCCCCTCTCACCATGTCTCCTGGTTACTGAACTTCTTGGTCACCACCTTGCCGAGCTCCAGGCCCAGGCGGTCGGCGATTTTCTGGGACAGGTCTTGGTGCGAGCTCCCGCTGAAGATCTTGATATTGGGCATCACGGCGGCTTCCTCCTCCTCCCTCCGCCTCACAGAGGGGCCGGGTTGGGATCCGGGCTCCAGTCGCCGCTCCCCACGGGGGTGCTGACGGGACAGCACAAGAGAGCAACGCGTGTCTACTTCGCCATCTTCCCCTTCCCGCCAGCCGCACCTCCCTTTATAACTTCCCCGGCGACCACCAGCCCCCACCCGTACCCGGCTCTTATTGGTCGGCTGGCGCGAAGGGGCGTAGTTAAAACGACCTTCCAACGGGCAAATTGGCCAAAGGTAAAAGTGGGTGGGGCTAGAGCACGCGCCGGGATCTGGTGGGCGCTACTCTGCGGGCGGCCTCCCACCCCCTACCTTTCTCGCGCTAAACAACAGCCGAGGCGACACTGCCGGTTGCTAATGGAGTGGCTAAGGGGCGGGGGCGCGTGGCAGCTGAACGGGCGGGGTTAGAGACAAGTCAGCGCCGCCGCCGGCTGCGTAGCGTTGCGGTTTGAGGCGTGTTGGCTCCCTGTGGGGTGGGGGCGTGGATGGGGATTGGTTGAGGGTAGAGCTTGCCTCGCCTGCTATTGGGCAGTGAGGTGGCGGTGGGAGGAGCTTCTCCCCATAGTCCTAAACGGCCGGAATAGGCGCTGGCTAGGCAGTGCCCCTATATGACGGGGGTGGGCGGTAAGTAGGTCATGCCGCCCTCGTGGGGCAGTTTAGGGCGTGTGGTGCCCTGCTCGCATCGACCCGCATTCGGGGGCTGGGGAAGGACTAGAGGCCCGCCTGACAGAGGGCGAGAGGCTGATAAATGCAAAGTAATAGACGTTGGAGCGCCTAACCTTGGCTGCACAGGCACTGGTGGGGTCTGGGTTAGCTGTAGCCAGTCACCCCTCAAGAAAGGGATCTTGGGGCCATCGTTGCTAGGTCTCTGAAAACAGCGTCTCAATGTGCAGCACCAGTCAAAAAAGCTAACAGCGTTAGGAACCATTAGGAAAGGGATAGATAATAAAACAGAAAATATCATAATGCCACTGTATAAATCGATGATGGTACACCCACACTTTTAACACTGCCTGCAGAGCTGGTCACCCCATCTCAAAAAAGATATATTAGAATTGAAAAAAGCCCAAAGACAGGACACAAAAATGGTTAGGGGTATGGAATAGCTGCCGTATGAGGAGAGGTTAAAGAGACTGGGACTGTTCAGCTTGGAAAAGAGACAGTTAAGGGGGCGTATGAGAGAGGTGTATAAAATCATGACTGGTGCGGAGAACAAGGAAGTGGTTATTTACCCCTTCATATAACACATGAATCTGGGTCAACTAATAAAATTAACAGGCAGTAGGTTTAAACCAAACATAAGGAAGTATTTCTTCACCCAATGTACAGTCAACCTGTGGCACTCGTTGCCAGAGGATGTTGTGAAAGCCAAAAGCATAATTGGGTTAAAAAATGAATTAGATAAATCCATGGAGGATAGGTCCATCAATGGCTATTAGCCAAGATGGTCAGGGACACAACCCCATGCTCTAACTGCCAGAAGCTGCAACTGGATGAAAGTTGATGGATCATTTGATAATTGCTCTGTTCTGTTTATTCCCTCTGGGGCACCTGGCATTGGCCACTGTCAGAAGACAGGATACTACATTAGATGGACCATTGGTCTGACTCAGTATGGCCATTCTTATATTCTTATGGGATGATGAGCCAGGTGAGAGGGCAGTAGGGGTAGGAGGCTCAGGCAATAGAGGGCGAAAGGCCTGGGACACTAGTCATGGCAGGCAGGAGGGCAGTGGGGTAGGAGGCATGGATGATGGGCCATGGCCGGCGGGAGGGAGGAAGCCTGGGTGATGGTGACTGAGAGGGCAAGAGCTCTATGTAGTGATAGAGGTGGGCCCTCCAGCAGTCTCTCCATCAAGAGGTGGTTCATACTGTGAGAACGTTTGGTATAACAGGGCATTAGTTTCTGGCTTGGCTGGTTCACGAGATGATCAGGCTTTACAGCAGTTGCTCTGACCACTTTTTGACACAGCACAGCCCTCAAACCGTATCTGGAAGCACAAAGTGTCATTCCCATTAGTGCAGGGTGCAGCCCCCTGCCATCACCCAAGCTAGGCTCCAGGCCAGAAATCAGGTAGGCTGGGGTTAGTGAAAGCTTTACCACAACTGGCTGATAGGATTTATCTAGGGCATGATGTTTCAGAAAAATTACATCTCCCTACCTTATCACCATGGTGGAATTTGTCAGGGACTGTGATTCAATGCCAGGCCCAGTGGAAGGTAGCAGATCCCACAAATTTAGGGTTTCTTGGTGAGTTGTTGTGCTTTCCACAGCAACTCGGTTTTTATAGGGTTACCATACGTCCGGATTTTCCCGGACATGTCCGG